ACAGCCAAATACTCTTAGTTTGTCGAGATCTGGTGGATGTCCCGACCAAACTTCTTCAGGTGTCTTCATATCTAACGCTGTCGAAGGACATCTGTTTATCAGATATGCTGCTGTCGAAATAGCCTCAGCCCAAAACACCTTCTTTAATCCCGCACTAGTCAACATGCATCTAACTCTCTCCAAAATAGTTCGATTAAACCTTTCAGCCAAACCATTTTGTTGTGGAGTACCTGCGGTAGTTCTGTGCCTTGCAATACCAGAGGCAACACAAAAACTGTCGAACGCCTCATTGCAAAACTCAAGGCCATTGTCGGTTCTCAACCTTTTTACCTTTCTGCCAGTTTGATTTTCGACAAGAGTCTTCCAACTTTTGAAATTCTCAAAAGTTTCATCCTTAGTCTTCTGGATGAATACCCATAACTTTCTGGAATAGTCATCTACTATGGATAGAAAATACTTTGCTCCTGAATGTGATGGACACCTTGCAGGCCCCCAAAGATCAGCATGGATGTAATCAAGGGATCCATGTGTTCTTTGTTTGCCTTTGTTGAACTTCATTCTACAGGATTTTCCAAGTACACAGGGTTCACAAAACTTCAGCTTTTCGACTTTATCTCCACCAAGCAGATTTTGTTTCCCTAATTCGACCAGACCCCTTTCACTGACATGGCCCAATCTCATGTGCCAAATTTCTGTCTTCGACAAAGGTTTCGTGGATGCAACATTTGTCGAACCACTTACAACTTCAGCCTCAAGGGTATACAAGCCTTGTTTCTTCACGCCTCTCAAGACTTCCTTCGACCCTTTCATGACTCTCAGGATACTTTTCTCTCCTTGAAAAACATATCCTTTCTTGTCGAATTCACCAAGAGAAATCAAATTTCTCTTCAAATCAGGTACATACCTGACTTCAGTCAACAATCTTATTGACTCATCATGGAGCTTGAATCTCACAGATCCAACGCCTGCAATCTTGCAAGCTTTGTTGTTTCCCAGCAATACCGATCCACCATCTTGATCACATAATTCCTCGAACAAGTCTCTGTTTGGAGTCATGTGCCAAGTGCATCCAGAATCCATAATCCATTCCTTCGATGAGTTTTTGCTTGAAACCACAAGAACATCAGATGATTCGAAATCATCTTGGACAATAGCTGCATTGCCATTATCCTTACCTCCATGATCTTTCAGGCGTTCAGGGCACACCTTTCTTGTGTGACCTACTTTCTTACAGTGATAGCATCTAATACCAGATGTGTCACCACTATAAGACTTCGACTGATTTTTACCTTTCTTCTTGTCGAATTTTCCTTTAACAGCCAAACCTTCACCAACCGTCGAAGGTTTATGCTCCTTACGTTCGTTCAAATCCTTAGAGTACAAAGCTGATTGAACTTCTTCAAAGGTCAGGGACTCTCTTCCATACAAGAGGGTTTCTTTGAAGTGAGCATGTGATCTGGGCAAAGCGCACAATAATAACAGCGCTTGATCTTCATCATCAATCTTTACATCAATATTTTCAAGATCAAGAATCAGCTTGTTGAACATATCCAACTGCTCAGCCAACACTTTGTCTTCAATCATCTTGAATGAATACAAAGCTTGCTTCAGGTAGAGTCGATTTACCAGAGATTTGGTCATATACAAACTTTCAAGTTTCACCCATAACCCTGATGCCGTCGTCTCCTTTGATACCTGTCGAAGAACCTTATCACCAAGGCTCAACAAAATTGCGCTGTGTGCTTTCTCGATCATGGCCGTCTTCTCTCTTTCTGTTAACGCAGCGTCCATCGACGTCGCTCCCTTCAACGCTTCCAAACAACCCTGCTGAACCAGTAGGGCTTTCATCTTCAAGCGCCATAGACCGAAATCATTCACTCCGGTGAACTTTTCGATCTCATACTTTGTCGAAGGCATCTTCTCCACGCTCACCGCACCAATTTGTTGAGAATTCAATGCCAATGACAAAGTATAGAATAAGGGAAGAATAAAGAACAAGGAAGAAGAAGAACACAAGAATTGGTTATAACTGCTATTCTTTACTTTCTCTTAGAAAACAAGATTACAAGTTTACAAGAATAACAAATAACCCTCTCACCCTAAATTAGGATTTGCTGTGATGGCAATGATGAGAGACTAGTATGCTATTTATAATAAAACCTAACATACTAACTAATGGGCTTTTTCCACAAGGCCCATTATACAAGCTAACTTAACAAACAAGCTAACTTAACAAATTAGGGTTTAAACACTAAAACCTAATTCGACAAGCATCCTTCGACAAATACATGCTAGAACCTTCTTCGACTACAGCAAGTACTTCGACCAACTAGAGTTCGATCCAAAATCCCACAAAAACATGTATCAACACATATTTGGATTAAACCATGGCATTCATATATCATTATCATCAACAATTTCATTATATTTCATCAATTCAATCACATATTTCATCAAATCAATCACACAACAAAAACCTACATTACCTTAACCCTCTATAAATCATAATGAACTAAGATTAAACCCCTTACCTTAGTTTCTCAGTGAATTGACTCTCTCTTCAAGTTCTACCGAATCCTCCTCTGAGCCCTAGCTTTTCTTCGTGTTCTATCAATTCCACGATCGTACCCAAAATGATCTCAATCCTCTATTTTCTCTTTTTACCCCTAGAATCTTTTCTATGCTATTCCCCTTATACACTCCCTTATCTTCACATATCACAACCATACTCTTATTCTCCCTTTTTCACCTTAATATATTATTTATTCTATTTAATTATTATTATAAATCTACATAACATAAACTAATTATTTAATTCTATATTATTCTAATTAACACCTTAATCCACCACTACCCCACAACATACCACATATACATCATATAATTCACTATAAATCACAAATAATTAATTAAATAATTAAATCTAAAAATCCGGGGTGTTACATAAAGCACCATTTTCAAAATGGATGCGCTTCCGTGAAATGGGTCATCTTATAGCAAGTGCATATGACAGAGTATGTATCGATCTGACAAGATATTGGTTCTCGAAGACATTTTTTCTATTACAAAGTCGTCCACCTAAATTTTTTTTCGGATGCATCATGTGCATATGGTTTCTTTCAAAAGACCTACATTTTTTAAAGATTTATTTGAAACCTGGGTGTCCAATTCTAATTACATTGATCAAATGGATGACACATTCGACAAATGAGGCGGAAACTTGGTCGGATCAATGTATGGAGAGGATGATTGAGTTCATCAAATTGATGGAGCTTGAAAGAGAATCAAGTAAGAAAGCGTCAAAGGAGGAACTAGTTGTAGATTTATGTGGTACTGGATCTTTTGATACATTTTAGATTGTAATCGATATACTTTGTGTATGTATTAATTTTGATATGATTTGGTACATATTAATTTTATAATTTGCTTTTGGTTTATATTGCACGTGCTTGTTTACAAAGTTTCTAGTTTTTTTCTGGTTCAGGTAAGTTTTCAGATATGTGACTCCAAAGTCACCCTTTTTGTTATGAAAAGTGTGATTTTATTCGATATGTGACTCCAAAGTCATCCCGTTTGTTATGAAAAGTGTGGTTTATTCGGATATGTGACTCCGAAGTCACCCTTTTTGTAATAAAACGTGAGGTTTATTCGGACATGCTATTATGAAATTTTACCTGGTACATGATAAGAATTTTGAGTTTCAAAGTGGTTCAATATTTATATAAATATGATGCGTCTCAATCCTTATTTGATACACCAACACACTAAAATCAGAGAGAATGAGTTTATATCTCTATCTTGCATTTGTGTATTTCAATGGTGAGAAACCGTTGCTTCCGTTTAATGTCACCAAAAAAACATCACTCGCAGATATGATATCCAAAATAAATACTTTGTTGCACTTTTTAGAAAATCGCAGAGTTTTCAAGCTCGAATATCATTTGCCCCTCATTAGACACTAAAGGGAAGGTCCATTTCACAAACCTCGAATTGAAGACAGATAAAGATCTAAAGGTTATGTGGAGTATTTTTCTCCATTATGAATCAAAGGGTATGATTGAAATCGATGCGAAGATTCAAAGATCCGTCGGACATATAATCATTATGTTACAACGTCTCGATGAAATGATTATGTGATGTTGAATTTATTTTCGTGATTATCTATGTAATTAATGTTTTTATTTAACGAAATGTTGATTTCGGTGTTGATATATTTTTTATTATGTTGTCATGTTTCCACTCATGTTGTCTGTGTTCTGAAAGCAAGTCTTGTTCGGAGATACATCTCCGAACACACCCTTTTAAGACTTCAGAAATGTATCTTTGAATTTTATTATGAAAAAATGGTATTTGGTGCATCTGGGAATAAACCGGGGGCATTTTGAGAATTTCGTTCAGTGTCTAGAAGAATGTATAGAAGTGGAGTGAAAAATCGTCATTCACAAATAGCATTAATTCTACTATTCACTTCAGGTGTATTTTCAAAGATACGTCTTCGAATTAATCTCAGAAAAATTTGGAGATGAATCTACGAATTAACTTTTAAGTAAAATGAAGAAATGATGAGTTCGGAGTGTATCTTCAAAAATAATAGACGTTCTTTTACTTTTTGCCAGGAGCTTGAGAGAAGGTGGAAGGGTGCAAAAAGAAATTCCCTAGAAAAAAACCTGACCTAACCTATGAAGACTAGGTCATAGACACATGTTAGCTGACCAAATTTATTTCCACTCCAATTGCCTACTCTAGTGGACAGTTCAGCTTATAAAACATTCATCTAGCCTTTTTTTAAGGAAACATATCTAGAGATACACTATGATTTGTTTTTGTTAAACAGAGCACAAATTATAAGTCAAGACATTAGATGCGGGAAGACCACTACAATCAGGACCAGTATACAGAGTTGCTTGGTCAACTCCAGCTTTCCTTGCTCTACTGTTTTAGGCAATTTTTCTCGAAATGATGCATGGCCAAAGTAATATAAGATTTATACAAGATTTAGCTCAATTTGATGGCAAAGCCCGCCAACTATTAGCTAGATGCATGGCATGATTTTGTGAAGCAGCAGAAAGGCGGTGAACGATTACATTCTTGACTCGAGCAGCACCCTTTTCACCAGCACGGCTAGCAAGTTCCAAGTACACCAAAGCCTTTATCATGTCTCCATCCTGTACAGATATAATTTAATACCTCATTTAGAAAGACATTATAATCTAACATTGAATAGAGAATATTTAGAACTAGGGCTGTTTAAAAAAACTGGAAAACCGCCAAGAACTGTGAACTGAATCACACTTAAATGAACCAAACCATTTCTTTGGGTTCAAGAACCAAAACTGTGATTTACAAAGAGTTAGCTAACCGGAACTAAACCTAAATAACCAAACCTAAACAGCAATAACCGAACTGTCCAAACACAACTTAATTTCAAGTCCAATCTCATTACACAAGGAGTCCTAAAATCTCACGAACCCTAAAATTGAGTACACCATCTTCAGCTCACTATATTCAGTCCATGGTCTCATTTTAGTTTGGATCTGGATTATGTTATATTAACTTACAGTAGAAGTCATGTGAGGTAGGTTTGTGACTTCGTTCTTTGTTCACTACTACATCATTTCTTCTTTTTGAACAGATTTTTTTTTTTTTTAGATCTACCTGGTTTCTTAATTTATGCATCTATTTGTGGTTTCAATTGGATGTTTTGTGGGTGGATTTTGGAATAAAAGCATAACATAAGGAAATGATAATTATGCATCAAATGTAATTGTCAAGAAACCTGTTAATACCATGGTTTTATTGTGTGTGCCAAAATTTCAGAACCTGTCTAAGTTTTCTTCTTTTTATATCTATCCTTCACTTCTTTCACAATTAATCAACTGCAAAGTTTTCTTCTTTAATAATTATATCTAAATTGAGCTTTAGGGTAGACGGATCTGAAGAATATGCAGAAAATTATTTTAGAAATAGAAAATAGAAGAAACAATTAAAAGGAAAACAATTGTGAATTTTTTTTTTGGGGGAATGAAATGATAGATCTAAAAAGAAGAAATGGAGTAGGTTGTGATCTAATTCTTTGTGACGTCATTCTTCTGTTCTGATATGGTTTTGGTTTGGTTTGGGTAGAAAATACAGAATTGGCTAACCAAACTGTTATGACAATTTGGTTCGGTTCAGGACAAATATTTAACAGTTTGGTTCGGTTTTCTAAACTGTTGTGGTAGTTTGGTTCGACTCAGTTCAGTTTTTCCCCTGAACCAAACCATGAACATGTCTAATTAGAACATCTTAGTTGTTAATAGTCATTGCCAATTTACCATAACGGTTTGGTTCGCTTTTTCTGAACTGTTTGTGGCAGTTAAGTTCAACAATTTGGTTCAGTTTTCTCCCTGAACCAAACCATGAACAGGCCATATTAATTTTAGTTGTTAATAATCATTGTCAATTTACCATAACTTTTAGTTATGGCTGACAGCTATTCCAATAATATAAACTGATTTCAGATAAGATCGTCGGAATAAATTCAACTAATAGCAAATATGAGGAAACTCATAGCAAAACGTGGAACGACAGATGTCGAAAAGAAATATTACCTAAAACAAATAAACAATACAAGTTAAAATCACATTTTGCACGGGTCAGTGCGTACGCCTATATCTATTGAAAACTAGCTTAGCAGAGGTGAGGAACATAGAGCTCAATGTAAACAAAAAACACGGAGTGGAACCAAAATAGATGAGAAAAGTCATACAAAAAATGTATCAAATGATCGGCTGCAGCTTCTAATTAACAAGCTTACAAAACAAAGAAGTGTATCAAGATAATATATTTAAAAAAGGTACCATAATGGCCAGTTTTCATAACGCGAGAAAAGTTAATGGAGATATTTTGACTGCCTCACTGATTTTCTGGCACATACTAAAAGTAGACCTATAGCAAAAAGGGATAAATACTTACAGAATAAAGAGCAAGTCCGTGCTCAAATTGAGCTTTACTATGACCACGATCAGCAGCCCGCTTCATCCACTTTCTTGCTATTTGATGATTGCGTGCCATTCCTTCCCCTAAAGAGTAGCATAAGGATGTATTGTACATAGCACGCACATACCCGCCTTCTGCAGCTTTCATATACCACTTAACCTATACCAAGAGAAAATTCGTTAATAGCAAAAATAGGAATATAATATAATGTTAATAAAAGAACCAAATATATGCAGTATTATACGTCAATTCTCAAACAGATTCTCAATCCCTCCCTGATTATTTGTAAATAAAAATTGTAGTAGAGGAAATGAATAGAGATAGAGCACCAACAGCTTCTCTTATATTGCTTCTACTTCCACCATCTCGATGAAGAAAAAGAGCAAGCTGGTATTGGGCACGGACATTCCCACCTTTGGAAGCTTTATATAACCATTTCAAAGCTTGCTCAGTGTTTGGAGGTTCAACTACATATCATAGGTATACCTTTGTCAGACATGAATTACTAAAACTGATCAAAACTATATAACACCGACACCTCTTGAAAAAAAGGTGTGTCTGTGTCGGATACTTGCACTGATAGTTGTTATTACGTTTAATTTATTCAAATTATTACGGGTGATGCCGTGTCAGTGTCAGGGCCGTGTTTAGAGCGTATGTATGCCGTGTCAGTGTCAGGGCCGTGTTTAGAGTGTATGTGCTTCATAGGCTAGTATTTACAAAACAAAACAAAAAAATGAAAGTTTGTGGAAGTGAAAACCTTGAAGATACGAAATCCCTAAATTACACTGAGCAGAAGGATTTCCAAGATGAGCAGCCATGAGATAAAAATCAAGAGCCTTAACCTTCTGTCCTGTCTCCCAATAAATAAGACCAGCATCCACCATAGCAAGAGCGGAGCCACGAGCAGCTGCTTTCGTGAACATATCAAGCGCCTTCTCCATATTCCGACAAACTCCTCCCTTTCCGTGTTTGAACCGTTTCCCCCACATAAGCATCACCATCGCCTCTCTCAACGGCCGTAGCGCCTCGCACCATGACCGGCATACCAGCGACGCTGATTGGAGGTTCGGTTGGTCGAAGGAGGCTCCGATTTTGGTCAGAACATCGTACGGGAGAGAGGAGAAATTGGTTTCTAAGGAGGGGGATGGAGGAGGTTTAGACGGCGGTGGACGGGAGCAGAGACGGACGGAACGGAAGGAATATGCGGGGGATGATTCGGAAGCGGTTAGTTTTGGGAGAGGGAGAGAGGTGAAGGGGGAGGAAGAGGATATGCACGGCCAGGTTTGGTGGTGGTTCTTCATCGGCGGCGGTGGTGGTGACTGTGTAATGGTTGAAGGCTTGAAGGAACAATTGAGAGTTTCGAGATGGATGGATGCTTTGTCTCTGATTCGATTCTCAAAGTTTATTCTTTTCCTTTCATTTTGCACACGGTTTCACTTCAGATAATTAATTAAAAAAGATATATTATTATAGCTTTCAACTACTATACTTCATTAGTCGCTTTCAAACTATTCTTAATCAATGAACGTGTGATTTTTCTATATGACATATTCTCTTAAGTTTTTCTTACTATCAAAAAGCGAATATGATCCTCTTCTTATCTCTCCATCATCATTAAAAACTAAAAATATAATCAACAGAAAAAATAAAATCAAGAAAGAAGAGATAGAGAGGATGGAAAAGAAAAATAAAGGAGAGAATCTAAAGTGATCAACAAGTGGGTTAAGTTTGGAAACACATCAACTGCTCTTGTTTTAGTCCAGACATCCCTCCTGCCCTTTATCTAATAACTCAAAATTAATTTTAAAAAATAATTATTTTGAAAAGATGGGAGCTAAATGGACAACACCAAAAAATAAACCGGAGATAATCTAGATCTGTTAAGTTGTAGACTAGCTGTGATATTTCAAACTAGTAATAAGTTTGACTGTAGACACGAGTTCAAATATATTACGTGCTATATTGTCAGTTATAAATATATTTGTAAGAATAGAAAAAAAGTGTGATGAAAGATATAATAAAAAAATAATATTATATAATTCTTGATCATAAATTTCTAGACATGGAAATAAAAAATAGTAGCTGATATAAAAAAAATAAGGAAATAATAATGTAAATATCTGTTTAAAATATTAATATAATATTAAAAATAGTTTTAAAATGTTTTTGTAGAAAAGAATTAAAGATGAATATAATATAAGATAAAGGTTGTTATAATGTGTACAAAATTTATACAATATTGAAAATTAAAAAAAAAATTATTGTCGAAAAGAATTAAATATGAATATTAATGTAGAGAATTTCTTTCTAAATTTTGTAGTTTTCTTGCAGATTTTTGATAAAAAATTTAAAATATCTTTAAAATTTAGGTGTGCATATTCTAATGTAATATGATATATTTTTTATTTAAGTGACTTTGCATATGTATATTTGAAGCTATTTGATTGTCTATTTTAGATATGATTATCGGAATTTATCTCTGAGATAGAGGAATCAACATAATTCAAAATATAGATTCAACATAAGTCATCGAAATTATATTTATGATTCTACAAAAAATTAAAATTACATATTGTTATAAACGGGTAGTTGAGGACGTTGCAACATTTTAATAACATTTAATCTCGATCTTTAAAGTTTCGCATCCACCTCAATTAGACTCTTAGAAGAGCGTTCGATAAAAAAATACCCCACATAACTTCTAAATCGTCGTCGTTCTTGAGCTTAAACGGGGTGAAACTTTAGTTTCTTTCATTGTCAAGTGAATGTGAACGATACTCAAGCTTGATCACCTTTCGATTCTCTAGATATTGTAAGAGAGAATTCAATATGGTAATAAGCTCGATGAACAGTGTGTCATGCAAAAACCTGAATTGAAGTGGCGATTTTCCACCACTGAAGTAGACAAAAGCAAGGTGTGGATATGTTTGTGTCATTTCTATTTGTGGTTTGTGATGGAGAATGAAATGGTTTGGAGACTCTATTTATAGACTTTTTGGAGCAATTTGGACCCAAGAAGTCTTATCTTGCTATCAGGACTTATTTCGGATATGAATATCCGAAATAATCTTTTTTTTTTACCAAAATACAGGTATTTGGATATGCACATCCGAAATCACCAAATTTTTTTTATAAAAATAGGAGGTTAATTCGGAAGTGCATATCTAAAATAAGTCATGTTGTGTTTTTTTTTAAATAGAAGGTTTTTTTTATAAAAATAGAAGGTTAATTCGGAAGTGCATATCCGAAATAAACATTGTTGTGTTTTTTTTTAAATAGAAGGTTTTTTTTGGATGTACATATCTGAATTATGGAGAACCAGAATCATCATCATTATTTATACCAAAGAGACATGGAAAAAATAAACAGTTGTAAAACTAAATATAGATATGTTATATATGTATTGAATCATATAGGTTTTATATTATGTAGGACAATATATTCAAAAAATGGTTTGATTACATTCTAAAATGCACCACTCGCTTTGCTTCATGATAAATGAAATCCAATCCCGTCTGAGATATGTTGAGAACCAACTATGCGTATAGAGTGTTGTCTTTGAATCAGTGTTCTAATACAGTTTTGCTCCGTCCAAATGTTGTCTGAATTTCATTATGTTGGTTTTGGAGTATTTGGTTCACCATGTCTCATTATCTACAAAGGTCTCTCTTGCTATCACCCAACCATTTCTTCAACGCGCATGTGCAGATGCCACTCTATTAGTTGTTGTGTTACTCAAATGTCTAATTTGGTCCGTCCAAGCACATACAACTTTCTCTTTCATCTCATTAAGGATAATAGATTTAACGTATTTCAAGAAATCAGGATATTCGACACACAAGATCCTGAAGAATACCACTTTCTCAGTATATAACTCTTTTGTAGTAGAATTTAAAATATCATTTTATGCACACATTATCTTTTCAACCACAACACCAAATTGGATCATGTTTCTGTCTTCACCCTTTTTTTTTTGTGCCAACTGCGGGTTTGAGCCGAGATCTCACATTTTTGTTATATGATACTGACAAAGTAATGCGGTTGATATAGAAAATGCACTATTGTAACACTCTCTAAAATCCCGCAGAATAATACATCATAAATCAGAGTAATATAATAACACACATCAATCAAGGGTGTCATACATAATTCAAAATCACATACATCTGTCATGCTCATTAACACTTAATTTTAATTCATGCTTTCCATAGACTTCCACATATACATTTCGCAATGGAAACATTTTTATTCGAATAAACACAATACTTAAGTCTCATAACAAATTCATTCATTGAATAACTTAGGCATTAAAAGTCAATTCATCACATAATTTCAATAAGGATAACAAAGCGAAAGAGTATACAAAGTGTCTCTCAAACATGAATTTAAAATTGTTCCCCGGTGTTACATAATACTAGAGCATGACCCAAAACCAAAATGCGGAAAGAAAATAAAGTAGTTTCTCCAACTAGTCTCTTGCTAGTAGCAACTTTAATCTTAAGTACCTGAGCGATGTCGTTATAAAACATCATTGCAACAGAAGGGTGAGTTCATATAATTATCAAAATATATAATACATAACATACATGCATCAAGATAAATTGACTCGCACTTCATATACTTTACATACATAACATTACTCAGTTATTCATTCTATTCACAAGTATACACTCACAATTCACAATTTCACAATTACATCATTTTCACATAATACATATAACTTCATATTATGACATAAACACAATGTGACTCAATACAACTCAAATGCAATACTCATGCATATGGTACCAATCACTATTATTTTTATTCGATTTTTATTTTAAATTGGGTCTGTTTTCTAGATCAATAACACACAAAAAGCTCGTTCCCTAAGCTTTCAAACTCTGCTCTAGGTTTGAGACAAGTCACTAGCTCCCACGAAACTAACAAGCATTGCCTCTTGATAACAATTATGCATGTGCAGTTTCAACAACCATATGTAATTAAGATTATCCCTCAATCTTAACATAAATGCATATCTTCAATAATTTATCACAATTGAATTATCACAATTACACATACATACACATATTCATGAATTATCCACACACAGTTCACTTTCATAGTGTAACCACGCCAAACCATCATAATAACACACATGTCTCCGTCTTCACCCTTTTTTTTGGTGTCAACTGCGGGTTTGAGCCGAGATCTCACATTTTTGTTATATGATACTGACAAAGTAATGCGGTTGATATAGAAAATGAATTATTGTAACACTCTTTAAAATCCCGCAAAATAATACAATATAAATCAGAGTAATATAATAACGCATATCAATCGAGGGTGTCACACATAATTCAAAATCACATACACTTATCATGCTCATTAACACTTAATTTTAATTCATGCTTTCCATAGACTTCCACATATGCATTTTGCAACGGAAAATTTTTTATTCGAATAAACATAATATTTAAGCCTCATAACAAATTCATTCATTGAATAACTTAGGCATTAAAAGTCAATTCATCACATAATTTTAATAAGGATAACAAAATGAAAGAGTATACAAAGTGTCTCTCAAACATGAATTCAAAATTGTTCCCCAGTGTTACATAATACCAGAGCATGATTCAAAACCAAAATGCCGAAAGAAAATAATGTAGTTTCTCCAACTACTCTCTTGCTAGTAGCAACTTTAATCTTGAGTACCTGAGCGATGTCGTTATAAAATATCATTGCAACAGAAGGGTGAGAATTCATATAATTATCGAAAATATATAATACATAACATACATGCATCAAGATAAATTGACTCGCACTTCATATACTTTACATACATAGTGTGATACGGTGGAAGAACTGACTTGAAGGTTTTGCGTTTGATCGCAAATGTTGAGGTTAGCAAGAGTCGCCACCGACTTTTCTTTTATCCAAAGGGAAAGGTGAAAAAGCACAGGAAAGACCTTTGAGATTGTTTCTTGAGTTCGGGGGGTAGATTATGAAAAGGGAAGGTATTAGAATCCTTTTCATCCATGGTTTTCCATGGGCTCTTAGTTACTTGCTAGATCACTTGTTTTTATTTGAAATTGTGTTTTGTGTGGTTTTTGAAAGTATTTTGTAAAGAAGCCATTGTTTAGGCAATCTTTGTAATGATTCTCGTTCGTAAGAATGTATACAAAGATGTTGATCTTTTTGAAAATGTTTTCAATGTTTGTAAGATGTTTGAAAATGTAGGTGATTGTTTTGAAAATAGCGAGGATGTTTGTTTTGAAATGTAGCAAGTAATTAGGAGCAATTTACTACTCAAATGTCTTTC